ATACATTTCAAATGTATTCAAAATAATATTTCAAATTTAACTGTACACACATTATTACCTTTTCAAAACACCTATCTTTTGACTCAAGCTCCTTGAGCTTTTTTACAATTATCTTTTTCATTATTAGACTTTGGCATTCCTATATGTTGGGTTTCCCATAATTTACTGTAGAAGGAGTTTGGTATATTTAACAGTGACTCGTGTGTTCCTCTCTCTATTAATTTACCACACTCTAAGACAAAAATTTCATCTGAATCCATTACAGTAGACAAACGATGCGCTATGACAATGGATGTACGTCCTGAGGTTGCTCTGCGTAATGCTTCAAGAATGTTCTACAAACACATCATGTCATGAATACCATTAGATAGGTATGTCATGTGTTAAAAATGCTACATAATATCAACTCACATGTTCTGTAATAGAATCTAAAGACGACGTGGCTTCGTCAAAAATTAAAATCGGACTATTTTTTAAAATTGCCCTAGCAATTGCCACTCGCTGCTTTTCGCCTCCACTTAATTTCAAGCCACGTTCTCCAACAGGTGTATCATATCCCTTTGGCCACTTGAGAATATGGTCATGTATGTTTGCCATTTTCGCAGCCTCGAAAACTTCTTGTTTAGATTTATTCAAATTTCCGTAGTGCAGATTATAATAAATACTTTCATGGAAAAGGACAGTGTCCTACAAAAAAGCGATTATTATTTAAATGTATGTTAGCAGATCTTTTTTGGACTACAATTCAATTACCTGTGGTACTATCGCTATCGAGCTTCTTAAAGACTCTAAATCTAAATCTTGAATATTGTGTCCACTGATATAAACACCTCCAGATTGTGGTTCAAAAAATCGATATAATAATCTCACTATTGTTGTTTTACTAAAAAATATATATATTGTTACCTAGCTGTGACTATTTTCATGAAAATCATATATGTTTATAGTAGAGATATACCCGCAACCAGATCCTCCAACAATAGCAATTTTCTTTCCACTTGGAATAGTAAAGCTGATATCATTAAAAATAGTCTTGCCTTCGCAATATTGAAACTTAACATGTTTAAACTCAATGTCCGAGTTCTTCTGGCTTATATTGAACTGCACAGCGTTCTTTTTAGACTGGTTCAAAACATTATATAACATGTTAATAACATGTACATATTGTATATATTGTACATATTGTTAGAAGAAAATGTTACTACCTTAATAGCAGGGTCCATTGTCATCAAAGTAAACATTGTTTGCATGTCAATGAAAGCTTGTCTTACTTCACGATATACTGAACCCAAGAATCCTAATGGTACAGACAATTGAAATAAAAGTGCATTGACCATTACCAAGTCACCAACTGTCATAGTACCTACATTTATTTGAAATAATATTATTCTCTCCTTTAAGTTACTTATAGGATTTAAATATGAAGGTAGATATCGTACCATTTACAATATTCTTAGCCGCTAATACCATGATTAAACTTAAGGCAGCGCTAAATATAGCGTTTTGTCCAAAGTTTAACATTGCTAAACTCGTACTTGTTTTAAGAGATGCAGCTTCGTACTTCTTTAATGATGCATCATATCGTTCGCTTTCAAATTTTTCGTTACTGAAATACTAAAATAAAGAATATAATTATTTAGATTAATATCATATCATTTATCAAGTAAACTTTAAAATATTTCAAATCTTTAGGTACCTTTACTGTTTCATAATTAATAAGTGAATCTATTGCTTTGTTGCTTGCTTCATTTTCTGCTTGATTCATAAAAATTCGGAACTTCGTTCGCCATTGCGTAACAGCTAATGTAAAAGCAGCATAGATACCAACGCAACCTAATGCAACAGTTGCATATTCTCCACCACATTTTAAATAGAGTATTGTGCTAACAAGTCCTAATTCGAAAGCAGTGGGTACTATATTAAATAACATAGCATTTAATACAAAATTTATACCACGGCTTCCCCTGTCTATTGTCTGAAACATATCGAACATGTACAATATAATTTTCTGTATTATAATAAATGCATCGACCAATTAATAATAAATTATTTTACCTTTGACAATGCTCCGGTTTGCCTAGACAGATGAAAAGCCATGTCCAAGTTATGTAAATGTAAAAATACATTTTTTGCTATTTTTCGTATAGAATGATGTGCAACTTTTGCAAACACTGCATTCCGCAATTCACTAAAACCAGCAGCACCTGCACGAGCTACACCATCTATTTTATTGATACAAAAATTTAATCATTAATGATTGTCATATATATGTATATATATATATATATAAATATATATATATAATATAAAATACATGCATCCTATAAGTAATGATGTTGCTACTGTTGCCACTGTTTCTGGTGCAGTTTCTACACCTAGAATAGCACCGCTACCAGCTGCTACACTTTGAGCATTGAGTGTGTCTACTGCATATTTGAAAATAAATGGAACACCAACATTTAAAACTTTTGCACCAATAAGTAAACCAATAGCTAATTGTACCCTCTTTCTTATGTCTGGATCATCCTAAAAACACGTGTATGATAAAATTCAGTTATAATTTTGATTACATTATGTATTTTGAACAACTTACTTTTGGCCAAATGTATCTAAGCATTGCTTTGACCATATCTGAAGCTGTAACTGATTTCTTATTTTTAAAATCAATAGCTTCGCGACTTAAACTGGATACACCAGGATGAAAACAATCTCTTTTCTGTTGACCTAATCTCCAACCAGTAAACCCAGAAATTACTAGTGGGAACTTAAATTTTGATTGCCATATACTTTTTTTCTTCTGAGCACGATCAATAACATTTCCATTGCAGTACTGAAAAATATTTACAAACTTTAAAGAAATGCTTACATATTTCTATAATAGGTATTTACTTAAACTGTTATGAAATATCATATTTTTGTAAAAAACGATTCTAATAGAAAATTAAGAAAGCATTAATTGGACATGAAATTTTTTATTAAATATTACAAACAAAATATGATACATATATTTTGTAATGTACATTTTAATAATGCAACATCAAGTTGTA